TACTTATTTTGTGGATGCACCTGTGGTCCCATAACTCCTTTCCCTCATCTCCATGGGGAGTAGTGTGATTGAAATGTGTTATGTATGACCCTGTGCATATATGTACCCAAACACACATGCACACACTCAAACATACTGACCACAGGTGCTGCGTCTTCAATCTGCCTGTGTCTCTTCTATAATTCACAGAGTCGGGCCCAAGAATAACCTCATGGATTAGAGTGAGTCATTTGAATCTGGCAGTGAAGATGTTTTCAAAAGAATAGGATGCCTTCCCCATCGACACACAGACTATTTCTATACTAATGCAAAAGAATACCAGAAAAGTTGTCTCTCACACACACACACACATACACACACACACACTGCAGTTTTTTTATTGTAGGATCAACATTTTGACATTGGAGGAATTTTCTGTATTTCTTATTCATGAACACTAACCTCAAAAAGTGTTCAATCTACCATGGTCAAATGGAATATTTCTATTTTTTCCTTTGAAGGATAAAATATGAAAATAATTTGTCGGTAGCAGATAACCTCTGCTACTGTTAGTTTTGTGCAAAGGCACAAACAAAAAATTAAAAAATACAAATAAAAAAACAACAACTAGAATAATTAGATTTATAAAAAATAAATATAGTCATTACTGAAATTGTGTTCTTAATTCATGTAGTTGGTTTTGTTGAGATTAAAAAAGGCATCTGCGCACACCTTAATGTAGTATTTTGATGTAAGCATAATAAACACTGTTGGAACCCTCTTTCACATGAAATACACTTCTGCACACAACCAACGTGTAACACAAGTGTTCCCCTCTGGGTTTTGTCTTCATCAGAAAGGTCAATAGTGTTTGCACATATTCACATTGAATAAACTCACTCACACTTGTTTTGATGTCCATGACATTCAAAGAATAACCAAATAACTTCTATGCAATTGGCTGCATGTGCATGCTCATGCAAATCTTATGCAAATCAGAGATTCCAAACATTTTCCAACTGTCCAACATGTCTTCACATGGTGGAAACTTTGTCCTTTATCACTGAAGGTTGCCTCTGTCAGTTGCTCACTGCAAGAGATAAGTTACTTTATAACTCATTCCACAAAATGAAATATAATATTGTTTATCAGAACAGAGTTCTGGGTAATCTAACATTTGGTGTCAGTTAGAAACAACTCACCTAATTATTAACAGCTCTAAAATGCATTCGTTCTTATCTATCAAGCAGTTCACCTCAGGTTTAAAGTACCATTAAGTTGGAAAAAAGAATGAATACTTCCTCATATTTTTCTTTCATTAAGGGACTTAAAATTGACCAATCGTTGATTTTATTGACTTTTGATAAACCATATGACCAAATATAGTTTAAGTTAGGTCAGCGTGATTTATTTTTCGCTGTGTTAATCCAACGCAAACACTGTGCAGTTTGGTTGTGACTGATTGGATTCTTGCTTTTATTAAAAGTCAGATTTGTTGCATCTGAAAGCCAGAATATTTATTTATTTATTTAAATGAACAATAGCATTAATGTCTTAACGTTTCAGTTCAGATGAAATTTTCTAAGAAGCAGCAGATTTAACTTTCACTAACAGTGAAAGTTCACAGGCACAGAACAGCATGTGTTCAAACAGCCTCCAATGTTATGTTCTGTAATTTAATAACACTCCACCAGTAGATGGTGATGGGCAAATATTCTGTTGTTTCTCCATCATGTAGCAATTACTAACATTCATCTGATCTGAAGGTAAATTTTTAAACCATAAAAAATTATATAAAAGCAAGGAAAATTCTGTTTTGCTTTCATAAGAAAGATATAGAATCCACTTTGATTATAGCATGTTTAGGATCTACATGATGAGACTGCGGTTTGTTATACTTCTACCTACGCTAATGTTCTACTGCTTTTAGGGCATACGCTCACTGGTAAAAACACAAGCAATCAGTCTTGAGAATGAAAAATAAACAACTTCAATGCAAAACTTGTGGCTCAGGTTCCCACAGCCATGGTTCATGGTGAGGGGGGGTTAGATGAACCCACATGAGTGGGTGCCTCTTAACTAGAACCATTGCTATCCCTCAAAATACACTGAGCTTTAATCAAACCTTTGCATCACTCGGATGAAGGACACAAATTTAGAAACACTCAGTGTTCTGAGCTTCTCAGGATCCATAAAGGGGTCCCCAAGAATTTGTTTCCTTTGACTGCTCAGAGCCAGGCAGTGGCCTAAGTAGTGCAAAGAGGTCTCTATGCCACAGACAGCACACAGACCATTGTCATGGAGTCCCATCACCATTTTTTAGCAGTCGAGCAGGTTGTACCCACCCAGTCTTACAGCCATGCTCAACATATAGGATGCATAGGATGCATTTGACCATATATTTTATATATTCTTCCAGGGAAAACAAAAAGGTTTTCCGATTCTGGTGTGAAAAGAAAAAAAACGGCTACAACTGTTTTTATGTTTTTATGTAATTTCTCACTCACTCCCTGCAGCAAGAGGGAGCCGTGTAGGGAGAGAATAATTATGTGGAATTCCCTGCTACACAATATTTTAGTTATAAAGAAAATATTAAAACTCATTGTGGTAGTACGTTAAAAAAAAAACAAAAACAAAACAAAAAAAAAACCCTCAAAACTTACTCCTGTAATTATTACAGTCCTCGACTTTGTAAATAAGAACAGGAAACAGCTATATATAGCATGTATTCAAACATGTTTTTATTTATTAAAAACACAATGGCTGCTCCCCTCAGTTGCTTAATTAGAAGAAAATGTTTCAGAGATGACAAAATTGTTACCTTCATTAATTTTCAGACATTAAATTTTTTCTGACTTGAGTTTCAAAATCATTTTTGTGTAGTCACCAGAAACATTATCAGTACCTAGTTGCTGTCATTGTGAAATTAATGTTAAAAAAGACACGTTAATGCCAAATATTTTAAGCAGCTAGTATATTTATACTTCACACTGGAGGAATTTTCTGTGTAATTTGTATGCAGTCAAGTTTGTAGAAGTGATTGTTTTGCAGATGTTTTGTGTGCACAGATGCATGCGCCGATGCTCGTTGTGTGCATTTTAAACTGATCGGGAGCTTGTTATTGTCAGTTTTGAAAACTCCCTTGGGACAGAGAGGAGACAGCTGAGACCACTCCCACCACAGTTTTGTATGTGTGTGTTTGTGTTTGTTGTCAGACAAATATAAAGGAGCATAATCAGCACCTTTTGCCAGCTGAATGTTCTCTCTCTATCTCTCCTCCTATTTTTGGTTCTCATGCTTTCGCTAACTCTATCTGTAGATTTAGGACTCGTGTATATATTTCTGTTTATAGTTTATCACTGAGGAAATTATCGTTCTCTGCAACACACTCAAGCAAGCTAACCCAATTTTACATATGACTCCTCTCATACTGCTGTGATTCATATTGTTTTACAAGGCATGCAGATATACTGTTTTATGACACACCGTTAGATCTTATTTACTCTCTAACTCAATCAGCTGATATACATCAACCTTGAACTGTGCTATATTTACACTCCAAAGAGAAAGGCTGACTCCATGCCCTTTCAATCCAAGTATCTACAGTTGTGTTTGGCGGATTTGTTGTCATAATAATCTTATCAGACATATTTCAAACTCTCTTTGCCAACTGACATGAGGGGTATTAATGCTGCTCATAACAGCCTGAAAACATTTAGTGAAATTTATTGTTTTCTCACAAATAAAGAGGAGGGGGAATCAGCATTTTTCTTGATTTGTGTTCTTATAAGTTTAATGAATTTATATATGTATGGTTGAATTATAGCCTGCATATGTTCAAGTGTGTTTTTGTGTTGAGAGCGAGGGATGAAAAAGTAGTTTCCTTCAGGCAGTGTGCTTTGTGAGTGTTAATCTTCTCTTTATTCACATTCTTGGACTTGGTGTGTTCTTTACAGAAAAGCACAGTTGGTGTATATCAGATTAACCAATTCTGGGAATACGGTGTGTGTGTGTGTGTGTGTGTGTGTGTGTGTGTGTGTGTGTGTGTGTGTGCGTGTGTGCGCGTGCGTGTGTAACTGCAGCAGGGAAATGGATTCCAAGTGAAATACTGTATGTGGCCCAGTGTGGCGTAAAAGAGCCTGCCTCTTGTTTCCCATTGCCACTGTGTGATAGCTTCTCTAGTGTAAGTGTTTTCTGTGTGAGGCAGCTTTCCTGGCAGTGCCATGTTACACCTGTCACCATTGTTTTCAATACCAGCTTATCTTAATTTCACTAAGAGCAGCACACTGATGCACGCAGAATGAATATGTCTTTAATATATTCCCAGGTTTTAATACCTCATTATGGGACTAGGCTGGTTTTTAATGAAACACAGTCACGTAGATGGTTTTAGGCAATAGAAGTCAATGATATGGTCTGTAACTAGTATCTCAATACTTTGGGGTTTTGTCACGCTACACAATATATTATGTGTATCTTTATTTCTGTTCTCACTCACTTTATAATTGAGTTAGTTATAGCAAACTTTTCATTTTGAACCAGAAAGTAAAGAAAACCCTGTGCAACAAAAAGTTTGAAAAAGACTGTCATATAAAACTTATTTTGCCTAATTGTGCTTTTAACTTTAAAACATTAAAAAAATGTGTTGTGTGAAACTACTTAGGCATAAATCCAGGATGGGGCTGTGAAATCAGTAAACTGTTGAAAAAAAGAAATATGGTTTATTATTTTCCCCATTATTTGAACATTAAAAAAATGTTTTTATTGTTTGTATTCTCATCAAAATTGTTAGCCTTCACAAAAATTTAAACTCTGTGGAATAAAATCATTTTGGTCATGTAATAAAATTTTTTTTGTTGCATCTTTGTGTAGCAATGAAAATTAACTTTTTGCTGCACAGATCAGTTCATGATTTTTTCAACTTTATCAAGGTCATGCACTTTGTTGAATCCTGTTTTTGTTGAGAATCATCTCGGCTGCCCTCTTCAACAAAAGTAACTAAAGTTTCTCTGATTCCACAGATGACCCAACAGAAGCAGATGTTTGGTTGCTCAACAGCTGTACAGTGAAAAACCCTGCAGAGGACCACTTCAGAAACTCAATCAGGTACTGAAACAACAAACCCAGCCCACCTTATAGATACAAACATCTTTCCGCCTGTTTGGCATTTAATTTACTTTGTTAAAAAAAATACAAATGTTTTTTGGTCATTGGAAAATGATGAATGCAATAATTTGAACTTTCTGTTCCAGTAGAATAAAAAGGTCAGGGCTAGTTTGACCAGTAGAATCACTAAAGAAGGAAGTTTTAGGTACTTTTTGTAATCTTGGATTTTAACAGTAAAAGGAGAAATATCAGAATATTGTGACTCATCACATAACTGAGAAGATTGGAGTAAGTTTGCAGCTGGATTTTAAATAATAAAAAAATACATCTTCAAACAGAAACTGGATTGTCCATTATTCCAACTCAAAACATGTTCTGGGACACGTCAAACAGTATAATATAAATCCTTCTAATATTTTTAGATATTTCAGAACTTTGCACCAATTTCATCCTGAAAACAATAATAGTGGTCTATCTTTTACAAAATTTACCTTCTACATGACTAAACTTATACGTACATACGTTTGTGTTAGGTCTTTTCTGGTTGTTGGCATAGTCAGATTCCACCTACTCGCTGTTTCACTGCTTTTACACACACACACAGGGAGAAGAAGAAAGAACACACAGATTTGCATAAACACTGCAAAATTAAGCTAAGAACTGTTTTGCATTTTGATTAATTTCCCGAGGAGCACACACACCTGCCGGATATGTGCTTTTCAATGAATCTGAGCCACTTGGTGGTTTTGCGTATGAAATCAGGATTTTTGCTTCTGACTTTTATGGATCATTTTAGCTGAAAACTTTGAATCTTCAGAGGCTGTGGGGGAAAAAAATCAAATGTTAAAACGAAGAGTAGAAATTAAGAGCAAACATGTTAAAACAGTAATGTGTTATGCAAAAATAAGAATCAGTTTAACCTGGAAGAAGAGAACACGTTAACATCATTGTTCTCAAGTATTACGAGTAAAGATGGTCAGTCAGTTCGGAATCAGAAGGACAACCTGTGAACCAATGAGAAGGTCAAGCATGCTCAAGGCTTAACCCATTCATCAGCTACTAGCAAAACACATACAATTAATGTTTTTCATTTTTGATTGGGAAACCTACCTCTTTTAATCTACCACATTTTACTTTTATACCCTATGTCTGATACCATCAAAAGGAAGTACTTTATCCTAAGGCAAAATCTAAGTTTTTTTGGAAAAATCACCGCTTCACATGTCCAACTTGATGAGTGCAATCTGCCTGTCTTTCTTCTGCAACAGCATCCTGATGCTCACATCTTCCTTTTACTCCTTCTGTCACCTCGTTTCTAATGCAAAAATGTCAGTTGATGTCAATTGAAAAACACGAAATAATAACACACTTCAAGACTTTGAAAATGTCCCCTTTGTTGGTGCCAGACTTTTCGTTGACAGGAAATCACCCAGCTGTAATGCTAATGCAATTAATGCTCTATTCACTAAAAGAACACACACACCACCCCACACATGCGTGCGCACACACACACATAATACACACACACAAAGACTGGCATACTCCCATATTAGGGAAATAGTTTTTTTTCTGCTTTTCATTGCTTGCTATTTCCATCATGAGGGTAAAAAATGAGGGGGTACAAGATTAGAGAGAATCCAAATGCCCACTTGTCATGATTCCCCCCACCCCCACGTTTTCATTTTTCATTTGCCTCGCTCCATGTGATCACTGAAGAGAAAAAAAAATGATAGAAGGCAGACACACAGACTGCCTCGCGCTCAGTCACACGCTGGCCGTTATGCCTGAACCTCCTGGTACCACAAACACACCAATGATTCACACACATTTACACAGGCCACTTCATCGTGCCTGGAAGTGTTAAATTGTCTGAATATGTTTCAGTTTTACAGTGTTGTCCAGAATTCTTCAGTCATCTCTTAGTTTTTTTTTTTTAGATTTTGCAAGGAAAATGGAAAGAACAGTGCAAACATAAATATGTACAGTTTAAAGCAAAAAAGAGATTGAACAGCTCTAACAAACTTTCAGAATCATTAATTGGTACGATCATTCTTAGTATTTAACACAACAAACTATTTTAGGTTCGTTTTTTCAGAATGTGTTGTGATGATAGGATGTTCAAAGCTTGACTGAAGAAGCTAAACATGAATAAATCCAACCTTATTACCAAAAAAAAAAAACAACAAATATCCATATGAAACCACCTCCATACCCATCTGATAATCACACATGCCAAACAGGGGTAGCTAAGTGGTGCATCTGTGTGTTTACCTTCATCAAGACCCTCTTGCACTTTGTGTTCATCTCCTAACTGCACCTCTCTGAAACAACCACTGTGTGCTACAGGCAAGATCACTGTGTTGTCATGATCACATGACCAACCAATTCAAAACCTCACTGGTGGGCAGAATGGCAAGATGCACCATTTGTTTTATATGATCATTTGCTTTTCATGGATTTAAACAAATATAGTCCAATCCTGTATTGTGGCTGTATGTGCAAATAGGTGTCCTGACACCGTATACCAAGTATAAATGACCCTGATATACAAAATAAGTGGCTGTTGGTGATCCGCTGAAAGGGCTGGATTCTGAATAAGGGTACTATCAGGTACATTCGATTCTTCATTTTCTCTGTTTTCAGGCACATGAAATCCTGTGATTTCGTAAACGTTTAGAGTTTATTGTTACTGTATCTTTGACACGCACACTTTCTTGATCTCCTCCAGACATATTGAAGAACATTTGAACTTGTACTTCAGCCTTTTCCGTTTTTGGATTTTTGACAGATATAGATAGTTTTCTGATGTATCTCATAAAAATATGAGCATCAGAAATGCAGTTGGAAAAAATCAAATAAAATGCCCTTACAGAAAATTATTTCAAAACCTTTTTTATTAACCTTAAACTGCCTTTTTTGGTACATATATTTTAGCACATTTCTGTATGAATTGTCACAGTAAGCTACAATAATTTATGAAAATAATTCTAATGGTTCAAACATTTGGAACATTGAATACTACCCACCCCCAACACACATACACACACACACACACACACCCGCACACACAAGAAATTTTGGTTCTGGTCACATTAATAACAATCAGCGTGATTGCAAATTAGTTGAGAGGTTTTAAAGTAGCAGCACAGAGGCTCTCGACAGTCTTCTATCAGGGTCTGCAGAGACATGTGAAAAGATGTTTTATTACCTCTGGAGGACAGGGGCTTTGGTTGGCATCCTTGCCAAGAGTGTGGGGATAAGGAGTTGAATTTGTGCATCTGTGTCTGGGTTGGCAGGTGGATGGATGCCCAGGCAGCTTGTGTGAGGCTGTTGTTTGTGCGTGGTGTGAAACGTTTCCCTCAGAGGAAACCCTATAACATATGCATGAGGTTTCTTTTGAGTTGGCACTCGGAGTGTGTATGTGTAGGTGTAGACATGTTTGCATATTGTGAATATGTAATGACTGTTTTCTGTTATTGTGAACACCTAGATCCAATCAAACAAACTCATTTAGGTTAAATCTGTAGTCGAGTTTGACTTGAAAACTGTGTTGTTCTACGATGCAAGTCTTGTGTTTGTACATAGTTTGTCTACTTTTTGAACAGATCTGCTTCTATGATATTTTGATCATGCAGTGTTGTGTTGGCTGGTATTTTTAAAATACTTGTCTACAGTTTAGTTTTTCATTTTTTACATCAGAAATTAATTCAAAGGCTCAAAGCATAGTGCATCTACTGAATGCTAAAAAGTCAATTAGAAAAACATATTTAAATATGCATGTGTGTGTTTCAAAAGCCTGAATCTATAGTGTAATTCAATGTCAGAGACCTCAAATCAATAAATGCTGAATGCATTAAAAACAGTTGCTCAACAGCATGTGATTAAGCTGCTGTGTATTTGTGTGTTTGTGTGTGTGTGTCTGTATGTGTTGGATTTCTCTGCTTGGCTGTTTCAACTAATTTGTATGATCAGGGGAATGTAAGCTAAATGAATGAGATCCCAGCTCTAAGTTTGGTTCGTCTGTTTTCAAAATACACCAATTCCCACATTGTATTCACATTCATTTCAATATGATTTTAATATTCATGAACCAACTATAAGAAAGAAAAATCATTAATGTTAATTGAAAAGGGACTCAGAGTACGCAGAATGAACTCAGAAAAAGTCTTGTGCTTATGTTGTGTATTTAAAGTATTTCAAACAGCTGTGCAGGCTGGATCGTGAATATGGATTAAAACCTCAAGCTACAGGACACGACACATTAGTATTTTATTTCTGTACATTTTTCTTACAGATTTAACTCCTTTTGAGTGGTCACAGGTGTCTTGGTGGTAGGGCTGCACAAAATTGGAAAAACATTGATTTTGTTTCAACACTATGTATTGCTGTATGAAAAAATACAGGAACTTCCATGAGATGACATGAATAACACTAAGTTATGCTGCTATCTTGTTGACGATGAACCTGCACTGATCTTACCTCTTTTTTTGTGTGGTAAAAGCATGTTTTTGTCTGTATTGAGTTCTTCTTATCTTTCATTGCTTGCTTTTACTGTGCTGCGACCTGAGAACGAGTTTCCTTCTATTGTGCAAACTTGCATTATGTTTTACCTCCTAATTTGTTTTCTCTGTGTCTATTTTAACTTTTGTTTCTGTAAAAATTAAATTTTGCTCCTTTTACTACAGTTCTCTGCTATTTTGCTCATCTTCCTCATTGTCATCATGAAACTGAAATATTAGTTTACTTCCCTGGTTTTCAACCCTTTAAGCATACTACCAGCCTTTAGTTTATTTTTCTGCCAGAGGATAAGACTTAGGAATGATTAAAACCTGACCTATTGAGTTGAAGTGGACTGAATAGTGACCCCAGAAAACCATGTCACTCAGCCATATTAAGATATATTTAAAAATATCATTAAAATTTGGCATTGCTGATAGTAGTGTGTTTAGGTTAAGCTTTTATAATGTATAGAGCTGCTTTACAAACCTCACAGCATGTTG